CAGTGGTCAAGAGCACTGACTGCTCTTGCAGAGGACCCGGGTTCGATTCCCAGCACCCACGTGGCAGCTATGAACCATCCTTAACTCCACTTCCAGGGGAATTCAAAGCCCTCTTCTGACCCCCGCGGCTTTGCACAACACGGGTGCACTCACACACATGCAGGCAATACACTCATACACATAAAAATAATAAAATATTTTTTAAAAATGTGGAATTGAGCCAAGCTTGATGGAACATGTCTATAATCTCAGTACTTGGGAGGTGGAGACAGGAGGATCAGGAGTACAAGAGCACCTTAGCTACATAGAGTTTGAGACTAGCCTAGGCTAAAAGAGACTGTCTCAAAAAAGCAGACAAGAGCTGGAGAGATGACTCAGTGGTTAGGAACACTGTTCTTGCAGAAGACGCGGGTTCGAATCCCAGCACCCGCATGGCAGCTAAGAACTGTCTGTAACTCCAGGCCCAGGGGATCCAACAGCCTCTTCTGTCCTCCGTAGGCATTGCACGACACGACACAAGTGCACTTATCTACATGCAGGCAATACACACATACACATAAAAATAAATAAATAAAATTTTTTAAAAAAGTTAAAAAAAAGATTGCTTACTGTTCTTACAGAAGACCTAGGTTCAGTTCCCAGCAACCACATCGGGCAGCTCATAACTGCCTATTATTCCAGCTCCAGGAGACTCCAACACCTCTGGCCTCCACAGGTTCCTCTATTCACATGCACATATCCAGACACACACACACACACACACACACACACACACACACACATAATTATAGATAAAAACAAATCTCAAAAAAAAAAACCCTGAATCAGCCAGACAAAACAAAACAAACAAAAATAACTAAAATGAGAATGTGAGCTGGGGCCTGGTCAGGTCTGTAATCCTTGATACTATGGAAACTAATGTAGGAGGGTCAAGAGCTGAAGACCTAAGCCAGGAGTGGTGACTCACACTTTTAATCCCATCTCAAGAGGCAGAAGCAGGCCTATCTCTGAATTCAAGGCCAGCCTGATCTTTTTTTCCTGTCCCGGAAAAAAAGAAGGCAAAAAAAAGTTGAAGACCTGCGTCAGCCACAGTGAGTTCTAAAGGCAGTCTGGGTAACTTAGTGAGACTGTCTCAAAATAAAAAGAGGCCTGGGATATAGATGAATGGTGGAACATTTGCCTAGCATGTGTGAGACCCTAGGTTCAATCTTCATTACCGCAAAAAAACCGGGGGGGGGGGGCTGGAGAGATGGCTTAGCAGTTAAGAGCTGTTCTTCCAGAGGACCTAGGGTAGTTCTCAGCACCCACATAGTTGCTAACAACTGTCTGTGACTCCAGTTCCAGGGAATCCAATGCTCTGTTCTGGCCTCTGTGGGCATTGCACAACACTGATGCACTTACATACATGCAGGCAAAACACTTATACACATAAAATAATTAAATTTAAAAAATGGGGAGGGGATGAGCAGGCCAGGCCAGTGAGATAGCTCAGCTGCTGCTAAAGCCCAGCAGCCTGAGTTCAGTCCCTGGGACCCATATACACACATAAAGGTGAGAGGAGAGAACTGACTCCACAGTTTTCCTCTAAGCTCCACATGATGCCATGGCACACATGTGCTTACACAACACACACTGAAAAAACATTTTCAAAACAGAATCTGAAGCCGAATGTCATTCTAGCCACTTTGTAGCTCTGTGATCTCTGTTAAACTATCTCTGCACCTCAGTCTCCCCAGCTGTAGTATGGGGATAATAGTTGGACTGACTACATAGGGTTTATTGTGAGAATTACATAGGTTAGTACTCATAAAGTGCTTAGAACAAGTACATGTCATAAAGTGAGAGTGGGATGTACATCAGCCATCGTTATTAGCCACTGTTATTAACCACCTGGGGGAACTTCAACTGGATTTGGAATTTGAGCATCCAGCTGGAAAGGCCTGTCTAGGAGTGTCTTGTGAATATGATTTGCATAACGGTTAAGGCCCAGCTGACGTCAAGGGAGGGCTTCTTGAAGCTCTAGGTCAGCTGTTGTCTTGGAAATGGTTCCAGCTACAAGACAGTCCCACAGTCACCCCAAGAACCCTGCTTCCTACTCAACTGCTACAGTACCAGGAAGTGAAACAAACAGGCAGAGCCCTGTGCCTCCAACTCACCCCTATCCCTCTCATCCCACCCCCAGGGTTCCACTTCCTTCTCTTCCTTTTCACCGTTCTTCTGTCTTTTAGAACTCTCTGAGTGGGGCCCAGAGGCAGCAAAATAGAAGAGATACTATACAAAATAAAGTGGCCCCTCTATGCCTCTTCCTCTCAATTCCTTCATTCTATTTATGTCCATTCGGTGTAGGAAAAAGACAACCATTTTCTCCCAAACTGAGCTAATTCTCAGATATTGAGACTATTTCATCGAAAGGTTATGGAGTCATATTAATATCTGAACCAGAAGTTTTATTGGGAAGTTTTAAATAGTCTGAGGGGTGCTTGCTTTGGCAGCACATGTACTAAAGTTGAAACAATAAAGAGAAGACGATAAACTGGGATTACAGGTATATGTCACCGTGCATGGCCGATTCAGGTCATGTGTTGACTTTGCCACCAACTGAGTAATAGTGAAGTAGTTCTCTAACTGTCCCTTCCCCATCCCAAGAGTCTAAGGGGCAGAAACCATTGCTCCAAACATGGAAGAAAAAAGCATAGCAAGAGAGATGTCCTGTAGTGGTAGGAGAGAGGCCACATGTGGTGACCTAATGCCTATATGTTGATGTCCCTACATGGCCCCTGTGGAAGGATGACAAGCAAATTCATGAGGCATTCTATATTTTAAGAAAAAAATTAGCCCTAAGGGAAGGAAGAACTCCATTGAGGCCACGTTTCTCAGAGAAGAGTAAATTTTTGAAGGAGGCTTTGAGAGCCTGTTATGTGGTCACCCATAGCCTCATTCTGACGTCCAAATTGTTCTGGGACCCTCCACTGGGGTCGGGGCAGTCCCAGCTTCAGACCACCCTCTCTTCCCACGTCCAACCTCACACTCAGCTGTTTCCCTGGATGTTGCATCAGGGAGGGTGATGAAATCAGCCATCAGTGGATTTTACCCATGGATGCAATAGGCTGAAGGACCAGCCAGGGTCATCACTATACCTTCAACTACTGAGAATGTCTGGACTTTCTAGCTGTGAGGTAGCAGCTGGAGGCTAGAGTGTCTAAGTTGGATTTCCAGGCCTTATTTATACAGGTATCCTGAAAAAATCATTACCTGAATTCCACAGAGCTTATGAAAACTTGGGCTATGAACTGGACTGAGAATTCAAGTGATACTTAGCCAAGAGTCTCTCCCCAAAGTGCTCTCTCCACAGTGAGGCCTGATATAGAGCAATAATACCTCATACTGCCTTTTATAGCTTCCCAGATCACAAAGTACCTTCATGTCCACTCTCGCCTACAGAACCAGGCCCCTCTATGGAAAATTACACTGTTTTCAATGGAGAAAGAGAAGTACCTTATTCCTTCATATCACATAAGAAACAAACTTCATTCCAAACTGAGCTTGCCCAATGTACTGGGAGATGAATGAATGCAGTTTTGATTTTTCCTTGGGCAAGAGGAAGTGAGGAAATCAGAGCAGGGGTGGGGTAGGAGTAAAGCTTTGGGAGGTAAAAATTATCAGAGACTGATTACACAGGAAGGAACTGGACATCAGATTAATTTAAATGTTCGTTACTCCCCACCTCTTCTACAGCCATCTCTATTCCTGGAGAGCATTACACATGTGTCCCATCCTAGGCCTCTAACCACAGCAACCTCACTACTCATTTCCCCTGGAACTGAGGCGGCTTACCTGGGCTCTCCACAAAGGGAGATGATGCAGAGAGGGAAATCCCACCTGCTCTGAGTCACCTACTAGTGTAAAGGGCGGGCCTTACAATGCAGGGACCTTTAAAGAGGCTGGAAGACAAAGGGAGGAAAACAACAGGAAGCAGTTTAGAAACTGAACAACAGAATCAGCCTCAGAGCCAGGGGAGGTGGGTAGCAATTCCACAAGGACTGGTGTGGCTCAGAGCCAGCCAGATTTGAGAAGCAGGCAACAAGATGCAGGGTTGCAGAGCTGTGATGCTGCTATTGCTGCTGTCCTGGACTGTGCAGGGCCTGGCCATGCCTAGAAGCAACAGTCCTGACTGGGCTCAATGCCAACAGCTTTCTCGGAAGCTCTGCACACTGGCCTGGAGTGCACATCTGCCAGTGGGACATATGGTAAGTGTCAGCTCCTGGAACCAAGCAGGAACTTTTCCAAGCTCTCCAAGCCTGCAGGTTTGGTAGAAGCTGTGGCCTTAGAATCTGAAGGACCGAAGGCCATTAGGGACTGAGAGAGGGCAGAAGACAGTGGGATGCAAAAGTACTTACCTTATCTCCCCATCTTCCCATGTCTTCCTCCATTCCAGGACCTACTAAGAGAAGAGGGAGAAGAGACTACAAATGATGTCCCCTATATCCAGTGTGAAGATGGCTGTGATCCCGAAGGACTTAAGGACAATAGTCAGGTACTACCAAGATAAGGCCTGATGCTGGGCATCTTGGTACTTAGCTATGTTTGAGATGGTAAGGAAATGGCAGCTGAAGGAAGAAGACTTCAGTGAATTTGAAGCCAGCCTGGGCTATGTGTAATTTAAGGCCTCCGCCTGAGCTAGTGAGATGCTATATAAAGAGAAAAGGAAAGAAATGTGTGTACACACAGAGGAAGGGGTAGAAACTGGAAGAGAACTTTCATTGCTTTTTTTCTTTCCCTAGTTCTGCTTGCAAAGGATTCACCAAGGTCTGGTTTTTTATAAGCAGCTGCTGGACTCAGACATCTTCACAGAGGAACCTTCTCTACTCCCTGATGGCCCTGTGGGCCAGCTTCATACCTCCCTACAGGGCCTCAGTCAACTCCTCCAGGTATGAACCAGGGATCTGGGGGATGGGGGCTAGCCAGTGTCATAGACAGTGACTGGGAGTTTAGGATCTAGAATCCTTTCTGACTATATACTATGTCCTTTTAGCCCAAAGGTCACCATTGGGAGACTCAGCAGATGCCCAGCCTAAGTCCCAGTCAACCATGGCAGCGCCCCCTTCTCCGCTTCAAGATCCTTCGTAGCCTCCAATCCTTTGTGGCTGTAGCTGCCCGGGTCTTTGCTCATGGAGCAACAACCCTGACTGAGCCCCTAATGCCAGCAGCTTAAGGATGGTGCCCAAGCTTCCATGGCTCAGCAATAACAAGATGAATCCATCAACCCAGACACCTATGAGCCAACAAGTTTATTAGTCCATTGGTTCCTTTTTTTAAAGCTTGAAGACAATTTTTTTTTGTTTTTGTTTTTTTGAGACAGGGTCTCCCTGTAGCCCCAGCTGGCCTGGAATTCTCTATGTAAACCAGGCTGGCCTTGAGCTCAGAGATCCGCCTGCCTCTGCCTCCCAAGTGCTGGGATTAAAGGCATGTGCCACCTCGCCCAGCCTAAAGCTTGAAGACAGTTTTATTAGAGTTTAAGAGGAAAATAAAAAGAGTAGGCAAGATGTAAATCTTAGCAACTCCCTGGAGGAGGGAGATGGAGAAGAGGGAGTCATGCCTGTTGCAATGAAGGTCAGCAAGCAACATGGCCCAAGTGGGGTGAGGGGCTTCAGAGAAAGAGAAAGCCCAGAGAATCAGGAAAGCATGCCTAGGCTGTGGTCAGTATCCAAAAGCTAAAGATAGAAGAAAAAGAGAAAGCTATACTTTTCTGACTCAGAAAAATGGGCAGGTTCCACAGTGCCACAAGACAGACAGATAATCTGCAAGCATCTGCCTAGTTCATTAGTTCTAACAGAATTTGACTTACACGTTGAAAATTACCAGTATGGACTGACTTTTGATGCTAACCTGTGACAAAGTTGCATATTTATTAAGTGGGTAGGGAAAATTTCACATTATTTATCCTCATGGCAATTTAGAGAGGGTGATTATTTATTATATTTATAAGGAATTATGTATTTTTTTCAATAAAGACTTATTTATGTGACTGAGTCTAATTTCTAAGCATGGTTGGAAAAGAAAAAAAATGGCAAAGTAGGGCCAAATGATTATAATATGCACCTGTTTCTTCTGTTCTGACAGGTTCTTGTAGAAGGTGATCAGAGCTCTGAGAATTTCCCAAGCTCTGAATGGACACATTTCTTGGTGTTTGGTTTATGGAATGATGCTATGTGGGTCTCTCCACTTCAGAATATGCTTGTTCTGTGTGTGTGTGTGTGTGTGTGATGTGTGTATATATGTATGCATATATATGTATGCTTGTGTGCATATGCATGTGGAGGCCAGAAGTTGGTATCAAGTGTCTTCCTCATTGTCCACTGTATATTTTGAGGCAGGGTCTGTTATTTAAACCCAGAACTTATTGAGTTGGTTAATCTAACCAGTCATCTTAAGAGCTCTGGGGATCCTGTCTCTGCCTCCTGAGCACTAGGACATGTCCACCCAGCATTTATGTGGTTGCTGGGGATCCGAAATCTGGTCCTAACATTTGTGTGGAAGCACTTTACCCACCATCTTCCTAGCTCCCCTGTCCACTTTTAAATTTTTTTTAAGGTTTTTTTGTTTGATTTTGAAACAGGGACTCACTATGTAGCACTGCTTGGCCTGGAACTAGCTCTGTAAATCAGGTTAGTCTTGGATTCACAGAGATCTGTGTGTTTCTGGCCTCCCAAGTGCTAATGTGCTGGCATTAAAGGTATGTGCCACCACACCTGGCTTTTTTCTTTTTTTCTGCCTCCCTTTTTTAGAGATAGGATTCCACACTGCCTGGTCTTGAACTTGTGGCAGTTTTCCTGCCTCCTTGATGAGATTACGGCTGAGTCACCATATCTGGTTCAATTTTTCAAGCTTATTTTTTGTTGTTGTTATTTTTGGTTTGTTTGAGACAGGGTCTCTCTGTAGCTCCAGCTGGCCTGGAATTTGCTATGCAGACCAGGCTGACCTCATCTCACAGAGATCCATCTGCCTCTGTCTCCTGTGTGGCCAGGATTAAAGGTGTGTGCCACCATCCCTGGCTCCAGTTTTATCATGGTACTGGGGATGGGACCCAGGGCTTTGGTTATGCTAGGCAAGTACTCTGTCACTGAGTTACAGCCCCAGCTTTAGAGTTCAGCTCTGAACAGGAAGAGTATTCCAGGAAGATGAAGGTAACCCCTCAAGGCCCTTAAGGACGTCTGTAGGCCCCCTTAGAGGGGGATTTGGTACACGAGGGAAGTTACAATTAATAATCTTTGGGGAAAAAAAAGGAGGCAAAAAGGCTAGTAATTGTTTCTTTTGTTTTTAAAAACAGGGTCTCCCTAAGTAGCAAGTAGGCCAGGTTAGCTAGGATCCTTCTGCCTCAGCCTCCCAAATTCTGGGATTACAGGCAGGGGCATACCATCACCTGCTGCTTATTTCCTTTACTTCCTTGGCTCAGCGTCAAAAGAGGCGTGCTTTGCTAATGTGTCACACATCTCTATCCCAGCACTCAAGAGATTTCAGCAGGTAGCTCATGAGTTTGATGACAGCCTGGACTACATAGCGAGACTGTTTCCTTCCAAAAAGCTAACAACTGATGGGCATGGTGGATGGTGGTGCACACCGTTAATCCCAGCACTTGGGAGGTAGAGGCAGGCAGATCTCTGTGAGTTCAAGGCCAGCCTGGTCTGCATAGGCCAGCTGGGGCTACAGGGAGACCCTATCTCAAAAAGACCCCCCCCAAAAATACCCCCCCCC